ACCAATTTTCCAAATTACCAATTTTCCAAATTTCCAAATTTCCAAATTACTAAATTACCAAATTTCCAAATTTCCAAATTTCCAAATTTCCAAATTTCCAAATTTCCAAATTTCCAAATTTCCAAATTTCCAAATTTCCAAATTTCCAAATTTCCAAATTTCCAAATTTCCAAATTACTAAATTACCAATTTTCCAAATTTCCAAATTTCCCAATTACTAAATTACCAATTTTCCAAATTTCCAAATTTCCAAATTTCCAAATTACCAATTTTCCAAATTTCCAAATTTCCAAATTACTAAATTACCAATTTTCCAAATTTCCAAATTTTCAAATTACCAATTTTCCCAATTTCCAAATTGCCAAATTACCAGATTACCAAACTACCAAATTCCCAAAATTCCCAAATTCCCAAATTCCCAAATTCCGAAATTCCCAAAATTCCCAAATTCCCAAAATTCCCAAATCCCCAAAATTACCAAATTACCAAAATTCCCAAATTACACAATTTCCAAAATTTCAAAAATTCCCAAATTACCAAAATTTCCAAATTACCAAATTACAAAAATTCCCAAATTACCAAAATTCCCAAATTACCAAAGTTCCCAAAATTCCCAAAATTCCCAAAATTTCCAAAATTCCCAAAATTTCCAAAATTCCCAAAATTCCCAAAATTCCCAAAATCCCAAAATTCCTAAATTTCCCAAATTCCCAAATACCATTACACAATACAAAAAAAAATCACTAATAAATTCTCGTACATTGAAAATAATTCCATAGCAATTAATCTCGTGTTAGGTTAATTTTCCAGTAACAAACGGGTTAATCCTTCGGAGTCTAAATACGACTCCTCCGTATAAGACCGATTAAATTCTGTTGACTAGAATAACTGTGTAATTCAAAAGTTCCAATGTAAATACAAGTTCTAGGATAGGTTTCTCGTCCTTAAGTTCATATTGACCTAACCCTACAATGTTCACTCTAGTAAGTCAATTCTACATAAATTAGTTTCATTGGTACAACTCGGAATAAATGGACCGTATCATGTTAAATTATGGCATATACTAGCAGAATTAAATTCTGTTTATCTCTGATACAAATACACGTGTATTTCAAGTTTGATATCGTGTGGAATTACTGTAATTTGAAATTTTCATTGTTTTCTCACTTTATGAGCTTTTCAAAGGATTTTTTATTTTATGGCTATTTTTAGGTATTCATTTAAAGTTGGTTATATATGAAATTAAGTTTTAATTTAATACGACATTGTTTAATGTGAAATTAATTTTTAATACGACATTTTTAAATATGAAATTAAGTTGTAATACGACATTGTTTAATGTGAAATTAATTTTTAATACGACATTTGAAATATGAAATTAATTTTTAATATAACATTTTTATAAACGAAATTAATCTTTAATATAACGATGTTGTTATTCGTTTAACTTTTGTAATTTAAATGTTGTTAAAAATGGAGAAGTTTGAGAATTTTTTGAAAAATTTGTTGAAGTTTGAGAAAAAGATGTTTTTCAAGAACTCTTAACTTGATCACCCATCTATCTATCAAATATCTATCTAACTCATCTATCTAACTCATCCATCTAAATCATCTATCTAACTCATCTACCTAATTTATCCATCTAACCTATCTAACCCACCTAACCTATATATTCATCTATTTGCAGACGACGTGCCTAACAGAACTGCCAGACGTGGCACCGTGCAACGGCACAGTGCGACTACCACCGCCATGCGAGGACTCGCCAAGCAGCGGAAGTAGCAAAGATCGCAGAGAAGAGAGTCCTCGTAGAAGATGTCGTGTTTTGGCGCCCATTTTACTCCTAGTCGCGGCTCTGCTTCTCGGAGGACTTTGTCTACCGTTGCTTCTACAATCCGCGCCTGTCACGCATCAGCAGAGGCTGGACGTGATCAGGAGGATCCTCACTGAAGTGCCTCTGATCGACGGGTTAGTTCACAATACCATACCTCCATCTTCCTCTCTCTTTTAAAATTTCCTTGGTCTTCAAACTTTCTCGTTCAACATTTTCTAACTTGAAATTTTTTGGTTCAACATTTTCTAGCTTGAAATTTTTTGGTTCAACATTTTCTAGCTTGAAATTTTTTGGTTCAACATTTTCTAGCAACATTTTCTAGCTTGAAATGCTTGAAATTTTTTGGTTCAACATTTTCTAGCTTGAAATATTTCTTTCAAAATTTATATAGTCTTATGGAGAATACGTGTTTGTAGAGAAACATGGTGTCGTATTAATATGTGGGGAATGTGTGACACAGCATATAAGGAACGTGGGGAATATAGGTAGAGAGTTGAGTAATTATGTAGAAAGAGAGCGATATAGAAAATTTTTTGAGAGAGGAATCTTGGTACAAGGAAATAGGAAAATATAGGGATTTGAGAAATATAGAAGTTGGGGTGATAGGAAGGTGGGGATATAGTAATTTCAAGATATAAAAATTGGGGAGAATAGGAAGTTGAGGATATAGAAATTCCACGATGTAGAAATTGGAAAATATAGAAGTTGGGGTGATGGGAAGTTGGGGATATAGGAATTCCACGAAATAGAAATTGGAAAATATAGAAGTTGGGGTAATGGGAAGTTGGAGATATAGGAATTCCGCAAAATAGAAATTGGAAAATATAGGAGTTGGGGTGATGGGAAGTTGGGGATATAGGAATTCCACGAAATAGAAATTGGAAAATATAGAAGTTGGGGATATAGAAATTCCACGAAATAGAAATTGGAAAATATAGAAGTTGGGGTGATGGGAAGTTGGGGATATAGGAATTCCACGAAATAGAAATTGGAAAATATAGAAGTTGGGGTGATGGGAAGTTGGGGATATAGGAATTCCATGAAATAGAAATTGGAAAATATAGAAGTTGGGGTGATAGGGAGTTGGGGATATAGGAATTCCACGAAATAGAAATTGGAAAATATAGAAGTTGGGATGGGGAAGTTAGGGATGTAGGAATTCCACGAAATAGAAATTGGAAAATATAGAAGTTGGGGTGATGGGAAGTTGGGGATATAGGAATTCCACGAAATAGAAATTGGAAAATATAGAAGTTGGGGTGATAGGGAGTTGGGGAATGGGAAGTTGGGGATACAGGAATTCCACGAAATACAAAATGGAAAATATAAAAGTTGGGATGATGTGAAGTTGTGAATATAGTAATTCCGCAATACAGAAATTTGAGAACACAAAAATTCCTTAATATAGAAATTTGAGAACACCCAAAAATTGAAATGAGAACAATTGAAAACACCATAAAGATAAAACTAAAAAAATAGTGAAATAGTGACTTAAGAAGCATGGAAATTAGGGCGCATAAAAGATGGAAGATACGGGAAATAAATGCGATTCGCTTAATCAGAGTGCACGCCTTCCTCGTTTAGAACAATAGAGAGTTGACGCGTACAGAAGTCAACTATTCAGAAGACAGATCTAGCAATTTAATTCCCTAGCAACGAGAATTTTAGACCGAATGCTAGCTCGCTGAACTGTTATCCACGCGTTTGTTCCACAGGCACAACGATTTGCCCTGGAACGTCAGAAAGTTCGTACACAATCAACTCGGCGAGGTGAATCTGAGCAGCGATCTCGGCAGAGTTGATCCCTGGGCTAGATCGGACTGGAGTCACACAGACATTCCTAGATTACGTGCTGGTCTCGTCGGTGCACAGGTGAGCTTAAACCGGCATTACCGACTTGATAGCAGCATGCAAACTCATATTATAATATTATTTTTAACGAATACGCGAACTTTGTTTGGTTGTTATGACGGGTTTAAGCGGAGGGGATTTTGTGATGAAGTGTGACAACGTAACAGTGGTGGTAAATAGTTAATTTGAAGGCTGTTTGGCACAAATGGTTGTATATATTCGAATATTGATGATATGAATATTGTAAAATATTGTTTTATAAAAAATTTGTTATAAAAAATGACTGAGTGATAATATAGGAACGTTCAGTGTAAGTTAGAGAATAATGCATTTAGAGAATAATACAAGTTGGATATAATTGCAAAATGATGACATAAAAGTATTGTAAAATTGCACTTACGATACATCAAATTAAAGATTAAAGCTTGACGAAAATTTCTATGTATAGGTTTCTACAATAGTCGTAATACAAAATGGCTACAGTACAATTATAGCAAGGAACGTACAATGTAAGTTAGAGATACAGAATATAGTGCAAGTTAGAAATTCGTGTGATTGTAAAATGATGACATAAAAGTACCGCCAAAGAGCACTTATGATACATCAATTTAAAGCTTATAATGTATACAACAAGAGAATATAAGCGTTTCTATAATATTCCTAACACAATATGGCTGAGTACAATTTAGAGGGAACAATGATCGACTTTGAAACATGTAGTTTGCATCAGAACTGATTCATGTTTTCACGAATTTATGACATAAAAGTGTGCTAAAATAACACGTGTGATACATCAATTTAAAGCTTATAGTTTCATCAGAATGGGAATATAAAAGTTTGTACAATATTCCTAATATAAAATGACTAATTGCAATTATAGCAAAGAATGAGTGATATTCAAAATATGTAGTCTGTATTATAACTGATTTATGTTTTCAAGAATTCATGACATAAAAATGTCGCAAAATACCATCTATGATACATCAATTTAAAGCTTAAAGCTTGATGAAAATGTCCGTATATAGGTTTGTATAATATTCGTAACATAGAATTGCTGAACTGCAATTATAGCAAGGAACGTATAGAGTAAGTTAGAAATTCAGAACGTGTAGTGCAAGTGATTCATGTGATCGCAAAATGATGACATAAAAGTATCGCAGAATACCAAGTATGGTATATCAATTTAAAGCTTATGGTATCACTAAAATGTGTACATCAACGCTTTTGCAGTATTCTTTATATAAAATGACTGAGTACTAATTATAGTCAACAATGACCGATTTCGAAAAGTGTAGTTTGTTTAGATCTGATTTGTGGAGTCACAAAATGATGACATAAAAGTATCACAAAATGGCACTTATGATACATGAATTTAAAGCTTAAAACTTGAAGAAAAAGCCCACGTATGTATTTCTATAATATTCTTAATACAAAATGGCTGAAGACTAACTATAGCAAAGAATGAGTAATTTCAAAAGCTGTAATCTGAAGTTGGTCTATGTGTTATCAAAATTTCATGACATAAAAGTATCATGTAATAGTGCTTATGATACATCAATTTGAAGCTTGATGCTTAACAAAAATGTGTATATAAATTCTTCAGTAATATTATTAATACAAAATGGCGAAACATAATTTATAGAGAACAATGACCAATTTCGAAATATGTGATCTGCATCAGAATTGATTCATATTTTCAAAATTTCGTGACATAAAAGTATCTCAAAATGGTACTTATGATACATCAACTTAAAGCTTAAGCTTGACGAAAATGCCTATATAAATATTTTTGCAATCTACATACTACAAAATGACTGAGTACCAATTATAGCAAACAGTGAACTCTTTTAAAACAGTCCACTCTCCTCAATTCTCAAACCCATAAATACCAAAACTCGCAAACTTGCAAAATTACCTTCTTCAATTCTATCACTCAAAATATTAATTCATTACTCACTTGATAGTCCAACACTTAAAATTTGCAAAACATTTTAAAACCATTAAAAAATTCCCAAAATGAAAATTTGTTTACAAACTAAAACTGTATGATAAATAATAGAATTTATGCCAGTATAATTTAAAATAAAATACCCAGCATAACTCCCATTTCTCTAGATCAAAAACATTCCCGTCATTGCACTCCACATATTTTCATGCTTTAGTATAAACATAGATAATGCAGTAATCACGCATTCGAATCGTTGCTAAAATTCAATGATTTCGGGTATCATTGTTTCGAAACAGTTGCTGTTCCCTCACGATTCGATAGGTTCCCTTTGAATTTAATTGAGCGCTCTTCGATTACTCCCCGAGGGTTTAGGCATAAACTTGCCTGGGATTTACCGATACGTTCCTTCTGTGACCCCGCCGATAGTTTCAATTCGAAAGTTCTCGGCTTTGGCGGCGTTAAACGATAAACCGATCTTGCCAATATCACCAAATGAAATCCGACCGATCAGAAACGTCGACAAACATCCGAGAACAATAATTGCCGAAGCCAGACCTTCCGTTTCGCGGTGAGTCCGCTATGAAACGGGAGGACAGGCCGGGTGCTGGTTTCCAAACCGCGACAATATTTGCGTTAAAAGTTCCGGTAAACGTCAGTTGGGGACACTGGTGAAAATCGTGAAAGGTGCTTGACTAAGTTTGTTTAAAACACGAAACAACGTGGATCTCGGCTAGGGTGATTAACGGATTAATTAATTTGTGGTAAGTGTTAACTCTTCGGCTGACACTTGCGATTAGATTTGAATTTATTTCGGTGGTTAGGTCACGTCTATTTCGGTGCTTCGGAATTGTAAGCGGCGGGTCAGGCATTTTGTGACGGTTTTAGAGTTGTGGTAAGAGGAATCGGAGAGAAAGATGGCGTTTTGGAAATGTTTTGTTGATGAATGAATTTGAAATTTGGAATGTAGGCATTTGGGTTGAAAGACTGAGAATTTTTGAAAGTTTAGAATCTGAGAATTTAAAAATTTTACGACTTAAAAATTTGAAATATTGGAAATTTGAAAAATTGAGGAATAGAATAATTAAAAAATAGAAAAATTGGGAAATTGAGAAATTGAGAAAGTGAGAAAGTGAGAAAGTGACAAAGTGACAAAGTGAGAAATTGAGAAAGTGAGAAAGTGAGAAAGTGAAAAATTGAAAAGTTAAAAAATGAAAAATTGAAAAATTGAAAAATTGAAAAATTGAAAAATTGAAAAATTGAAAAATTGAAAAATTGAAAAATTGAAAAACTGAAAAATTGAAGAATTGAGAAAGTGAAAAATTGAAATATTGAAAAATTGAGAAATTGAAAAATTGAAAAATTAAAAAATTGAAAAGTTGAAAAATTGAAAAATTGAAAAATTGAAAAATTGAAAAATTGAAAAATTGAAAAATTGAAAAATTGAAAAATTGAAAAATTGAAAAATTGAAAAATTGAAAAATTGAAAAATTGAAAAATTGAAAAATTGAAAAATTGAAAAATTGAAAAATTGAAAAATTGAAAAATTGAAAAATTGAAAAATTGAAAAATTGAAAAATTGAAAAATTGAAAAATTGAAAAATTGAAAAATTGAATTATTAATCAATTATTAAAATTGTTTGATGAAAGATCAATATTAAGAACGTGAGAAATATTTTCATATCGCGCTCACATATCCCCGCATTGTAATTTAAACGAACATTTCTGTATGCCAGAAACATCGTGACACATTTAACACAAATGTTGCAATGTCCACAGATATTTGTATAATTTACACGAAAACTTTGACTTCGTATATACGGAGAAACGTTATCCAGTTAATTTGGGTTTGTCGAGGAAAATTAACAACATAAACAAATAGTAAGAAAGCCACGTGTTTGATTAAATGTTACTCGTCGTGCAATTAAACACTAACAATATAATTGACAATTACACGCTATTTTCTAAAGTCGTAATTCCATAATTCTGATTTAATGAAACTTTGACAATGCGGTTCTGAAATTCTTCCACTTTTACAAATCGTGTTTCGTTTCTGTCAAATTAATTCCACTCGAAGTACTATTTGACGCGTGAAATTAATTAAAGTGTCGGACATGTTTATAGGAACCTTTCGATGGATGCTTAATTAGAAAGATGAAATGCTTATGAAATTTTTCGATTGAAACTGTTGATAATTAGTGAATGGTCGACTTGTGTGCATATTTTTTGCTGAAAATTGGTATTTAAGATAGAATGTAGATAGAAATTTTTATCATGATTGTAAAAATATATCTTTTAAATTTATCAAATATTGTATCAAATTTCGAGACTACAAATTTCCCAATTTTTCAAGATTCAAGATTCTATAGATTTCTAAATCTCAAAATCACGAATTCTCAATCTCTCAAGTTCTAAAATTTCCAAATCTTAATTTCTCCATTTCTCAATCTCTCAAATTTTCTATGTCTGAAATTTTCAATTCTTCAATTCTTCAATTCTTCAATTCCTCAATTCTTCAATTCTTCAATTCCTCAATTCTTCAATTCTTCAATTCCTCAATTCTTCAATTCTTCCATTCTTCAATTCTTCAATTTTTCAATTCTTCAATTCTACAATTCTACAATTCTTCAATTCCTCAATTCTTCCCTTTTTCAATTTTTCAATTTTTCAATTCCTCAATTTTTTAATTTAAAGGTATCGGAATTTGGTGACTGGAGAATTAAGAATTTGTGAATTAACAAATTTGGTAGTTTCATAACTTCTGACTTCACTAATTAATAAATTTAAAAATTTAATTAATTTCTGAATTCAGAATTTAAGAATTTCTGTATTACTGAAGTTGCAAATTTATAATTTTGCAAATATGAATTTGTAGACTTGGAAACCTAAAAATTAACATTCTTACAAATCTCTAAACTTGAAAATCTATCAAAATAACTTAAAATAATTTGTAAGTAAATTTCTAAATTTCTAAGTTTGATAGACTGTAATAAAAAAAATCCTAAATTCAGAAACATGTGAAAACTTCTTAAATTCCGTAACCTAAAACTTGGAAATTTAAATATTAGAAACAACG